AGCCACATCCCCAGCCCAAGTGTAACTTTCTTAATTCCTCTTTGTGTACAAATATAAATGTTACTTGGTTGAATGCATATTATTTGAATTTTAAGCAATGAAGTCTTATATTCCAGGGGCTGGGGTTGTGGCTTAGCGGTAGAGCGCTCGCCTTGCACATGCGAGGCCCTGGGTTCGATCCTCAGCACCACATAAAATATATAAACAAAATAAAGATGTTGTATACAACTAAAAAATAAAAGTCTTGGGTTGGGGTTGTGGCTCAGAGGTAGAGAGCTCGCCTACCATGCGTGAGGTACTGGGTTCAATTCCCAGCACCACAAAAAAATACATGTCCACCTATAAACTAAAAAATAAATATTAAAAAAAGTCTTTTATTCCAATTTAAAGATGTATTAATCAAAGGGATCAATATTTTTACCATTGAGGGCAAAACAGAGGGGATCTTATTGAATTTCTTTAGCCCTTTGGAGAGACTTAGACTTTGAAGTCTTTTACCATTAGTGTAAAGGCAAAAGGTACGCACTACTCTGCAGACCATTCATTGCTATGCAATTGTAGCTCATATGGTACTAGACCACTCAGGAGTTTAATAATTGCTTACAAAATAAATGAGTAAGGATCAATTTTATTAAATGCTGGGAGGTAGGGAATAATATATGGGCTGGGTCTTTGAAGTTCTGTCTTGAATGTATGTGTTTAAAATGTTTAGTTGTAATCTGATTTGTGTGTGTGTGTGTGGTACTAGGGGTTGAACCCAGGGCCCCATGCATGTTGCGCAAATACTGTTATAACTGAACAACATTCCCCACCCCTTTTTCATTTTAAGACARGGTCTCACTACTTTCCCCAGGCTGATCTTGAACTTGTTCCTCATGCCAGAGCCTCCTTAGTAGCTGGGATTATAGGTGTGTGCTTCTTGCTCCTGGCTGTAATCTTATATTTGTAATTTAACTTGACATTACTGAGCAAACGTGGACAGAAGTGGGGAATGTCCAGGGAAGAGCATCCAAGTTCACATTATTTTTCCTGACAACTATGGGACTTCTGTTTTACCCCCTGGCCCCTTAGCCCAGGAGTTCTGTTTCCAAAGAAAGAGCCAGATGATTCTAAAGATGAGGATGAAGATGAAGATGAGTCATCAGAAGAAGATTCTGAGGATGAAGAGCCACCTCCTAAGAGAAGGTATGGATCTGTGAAAAACCCTTGTTATATCAGGATAGTAGGTTTCCTAGAGCTGAGATAGTACTAATGGAGGGACTGAAGGCAGAGAAGTGTTTTAACCCATCAGGATCCTTTTCAGATTCTGAATTTATCTTGAAAATTCAGGGACTCTGAATTTAAAGCAACGTGAACGTGTAATGTGCTCTTTGATCAAACCTATACATAATCATAGAATGGTTATTCAAAGAAAAATAGTTCTATATTTTTATAGGAAAATGTCATGAAGTTATGTGTAGATTTCCATGAATTGGTTGAATTTTACTCAATTTTAGTAGAGTCTCTAGTGAAAAATTAAGCCACATTCCTATTCTTAACATAGGTGACTTGGATGTTTTCTGTATTTCTTTAGGCAGAACACCTGGTTGTCCTGGAAAAGTGAATCTCTCATGTACTGACTGCCTTTACTCTTTGTTATCACAGGTTGCAGAAGAAAACCCCAGCCAAGTCCCCAGGGAAGGCTGCATCCATGAAGCAGAGAGGGTCCAAGCCTACACCTAAAGTTCCAGCTGCCCAGCGGGGAAAAGCTAGGCCACTTCCCAAGAAAGCTCCTCCTAAGGCCAAAACTCCTGCCAAGAAAGCCAGACCCTCACCCTCAGTCATCAAGAAACCTAGTGGTAACTCCTCAAAGAAGCCTGCAGCCAATTCAAGAAAGGAAGTGAAATTGCCTGGCAAGGGTAATAAATCCACCATGAAGAAGTCTTTCAAAGCAAAAAAGTAAATTTTATAGGAAAAAATGGGTATCATGATGAAATTAAGAATCTTATTTTATAAGGTCAGTGTGCATTTGTTTCAGTTTTGATGCTTATAAAATTACACTTTTTTTGTCCAGTATGAACTATTGTGGGGAGGGAACATAAATAAACCAATTTAGGCATTGTTAGCTTTAGGTGCTGTTTTTGGTGCCTGCCCCTTCCCTCAGTCATTTTAATTTCTGCAATAATCCTGAACTTGCCTAAACTATATAATCTATACTTGTCCTTTTTGCTTCCCCTACCCCAACTCCTATTGTTACTTTTCCTCCTTCCAGTTTTATCTAAACAGTTGCAAAGATTTTTATATTTGTAGAAAGCATCAAGAACAGGATGCTGGTCAGGTGCTGGAAGTAAAAAGGAGACAGTGTAGCACTGACTTCATTGTGAAGCCTCCTCCCTGGAGACATCAGCTATGGCTTAACACTTATTTGTAAAAATCACTCCACTAACCCTTTATCTCCAACTGTAAACACAGAGACAACTTAGCTTTGGAAATAAGCCCAAGAGTATGAGCTCACTAGATTTTGAAAATGTACCACCTCTTTGGGTCATTTCTCACATTGATCAAACCTCTAGGTATTTTCCACTGACCCAGAGAGCATTGTATTCTCTTAACAGCAAGCACAAGTTCTCTGTACCACTTGCTTTTTGACTGAAGGAGAATTATAGAAATATATTGAATTTAATTTCTGGTGTCACCTGTGTTACCAAAAATCAAAATATATACAATCTTCTTGATCAAATGTTAAAATATATTTTTGAATATTTGGAGCATGAGTTGTCACTTCCTGTTTGCCTTTTTTTATAAGGAAACGTTGGAGAATTACAGCATTGCTAATGTAGAAATGTTAAGTGGAAAAACATACAATTTGCTAAAATAAACTAGATTCCAGATTCATCTGTGGATATTTTTCCCCCTCCTTTCTTTCCATAGCACTTTTGATATCAAGCAAGTGGCTTCCTTTTTGAGATATTAAAAAAGAAAAAAAAGAAAAGAAAAAAAAAAAAAGCAAATGAAGCCCTACTACCTAACCCTTTTTTATTTGTATTTGTTTTAGTGTCGTGAAGTTGTGTTAAATAGCACTAGCTTTCTACTTGAGAAATACCAATTTCTGGTTATCATTTATCTTCCCTGTGGCACTTGACATTTTAATTGTCTTAAACTTTTTGGTGTATATCTCCTGGCCCCTTGAGAGCTGGCCAGAAGCAAAAGGTGTTTGTTTTATATTCATTCCACTTGCATTGTCTCCTGGGATCCCTTCTGCAGCTTAAGTATGGCTGGGAAATGGACTTGAGAAGATTGGCTTGAAATAGATCAAAATCATGTGTGATCCCATCATGCGTTCATTGGAATTTGTGTTGCATGTAAGGCAATCTTTCCTGTTGTAAATCTTCCTTTTTTTATGTACATATATTTTGAAAAATATGAATAAACATGAAATTTTAAAAGCTGCTGAACTGTAGCTTATATTTAAAAGTTATCTAGTATATCCTCAGAAGTAGCTAAGTGTAGCCGTCCCTTTGAGTCTTTTCTACTCCTGGCAATGGACATTACCACTTTCTTTTTAAGTACAAGCTCCAGTTTATTTGCTTTTAAATTCTTATGTTGATGATAAGTAATGTTTCTAGATATGTTGATCCTGGTTATTAATGATTTAAAAATTTTAAAAATCACTTTGTTGGGCTGGGATTGTGGCTCAGTGATAGAGTGCTTGCCTGCCATGTGTGAGGAACTGGGTTCGATTCTCAGCACCACATAAACATAAATAAATATCCATCAACAACTAATAAATATTTTTTTAAAAAAGGAAAAAAAATTTCACTTTGTATTAAGGACCATTTCAAGTTCATAGAGTCCAGTCTTTCATAGTAAATGAATGCTCAATGTTCAGATAAATCCTTGGATTGGGGGGAAAAAAAATTACAGCACTGCAAAAGATAACAGACAATCCCTGGAGTCCTAATTCTAGAAAGTTTCAGTCAAGTAATAGGTCTTAATAATATGGGTTAGGTACCTGTGCTAACTATTCTGTTTTAGGGGGCTAGGAATATAGTTCAGTTTAGAGTGCTTATGAAGAGTAAGAAATCTGCTCACTTAGCTGTTGAGAGCCACAGCCAAAGGGGCCCCAGCAATCTTCTAGCTGCCAACTGATTGGCTCCTCTGCGGTGATGGTCATTGGGTTGTTTCCCCGCCATTTCAGACCACGGAGCTGCTCATTGGGGGACTTTTTTTGGCTCCACCTATGCGACCCAGCCAATCGGCCTCAAGAGCAGGAGGAGTGGGGGAGGTTGAGAGGCTTGTGGGAAGCCTGTGGTGGCAGTTGGGCTCTGAAGGTTTTTCCTGAGGAGCTGTGTGGTTTGGCATGTGTGGTTCTAAAAATAAAGTTCGTTTCTTTTGACAAGTGGATCCTGAATTGTGCCCAGCCAGACTGCGGCATTTGGTGGCCTGTACCGGGAATCGAACCCTCGACCTTGGCGTTATCAGCACCAAGGACCATATGTAGTATTGGACAACCTAAGGCAGGCACGGTCCCTAAGCCACATGCTTGTTGTTTAAACAGAGAGGGGGAGATGTTGAGAGCCACAGCCAAAGGGGCTCCTGAATTGTGCCCAGCCAGACTGCGGCACTTAGCCAAGAAGTTCTGATAGACATTGTGGCTCTCAGGCTACGGTGCTCTCCTGGGATAAGCAAACTGAGGAAACCAGATAGTATTCTATGGTAGTATTGGAGAATTACCAAGTAATTATACAGTGACCTAAAATAACAGGGTTGAATAGGTAACATTTCTTTGTAATACAAGGTCTAATATGAACAGACTTGACTGAATTAGCAAACGTGACTTAATTTTGTTTCCCAGTCCTCTACACTTTTTTTTTTAAATAAATGAAAACGGAATGCATTATAGTTCTTTTTTTTTTTTACATTTATTTTTTAGGTGTAGATGGACACAACACAATGTCTATATTTTTATGAGGTGCTGAGGATTTGAACCCGGGTCCCGCCCGTGCTAGGCGAGTGCTCTACCGCTGAGCCACAATCCCAGCCCCATTATAATTCTTATTACACATATAGAGCACAATTTTTCATATCTCTGGTTGTATATAAAGCATGTTCAAACCAATTCTYTGTATTCCTACTAAAACAAGTCCTTTTTGTTTTGTTTTTGGTATTTGGAATTGAACTTGGGCACTCGACCATTGAGCCACAACCCCAGCCCTATTTTGTATTTTTTTAGAAACAAGGTTTCAGTTGCTTGGTGCCCCACTGTTGCTGAGACTGGCTTTGAACCCGCAATCTTCCTGCCTCAGCCTCCCGAGCTGCTGGGATTACATAGGCAGGTGCCACTGCACCCAGCCTTGAGTGCTTGGTTTTTAATTCTGGTTTTGCCACTTACTGTGACCTGGAACAAGTTACAGAATCTCACTGTGCCTCAGTTTCCCCTTCTGTAAAATGGGAACAGTAAACTATGACTATGACCGTCATATTATATGTGATAATGTGCCTTTGGAAAAAACTCAGTATTACCACTTGTTATTTAGAAGTGCCAAGTGTCCCAGCCACCCACATGTGAAAGGTTTGGTCATTAGCATGTGGGCACTGTTGTAAGGTGATAAAACTTTTAGGAGGTGGGGCCTGGTGGGAGGAAGTTAGGTCATTGGGGGTGTATCCTTGAGGGGATTGTGGGACTCCAATTCCTTTCTCTTTCTTTCCTGGATGCCATGAGGTGAGTAGCTTCCTCTGGCATGTGCACAGGGAACTGCTCTCCTTATGGCAAACTGCCTGCCACAGGCCCAAAGGCAACAAGCCAATAAACCATGGACTGAAACCTCTAAAACCGTGAGCCAAAATAAACCTTCCCCTTTTTTTTTTAATATTTATTTTTCAATTATAGTTGGACACCTTTCTTTTACTTATTTATTTTTATGTGGTGCTGAGGATCGAGCCCAGGGCCTTGCAAGTGCTAGGCAAGCGCTCTACCGATGAGCCACAACCCCAGCCCAACCTTTCCTTCTTATCAGTGAATTATCTCAAGTATTTTGTTATAGTAATGGAAAGTTGACTAATACTTCATAAGATGGCCAACCTTATGATACTTTACCAAACTTACTCAAGGGACTATAGAGAAAGTTCCCTTTGCTAAGCAAAGATATAATAGTGTTATTTATGCATTTATGTACAGTATCAAAAGAAAGTGAGTGGTAAGCTGGGTGTGGCGGCACACCCCTGTAAAGCCAACAACTTGGGATGCTGAGCAGAGGATTAAGTTCAAGACCAGCTATAGCAACTTAGTAAGATCCTATCTCAAAATAAAAGACCCTGTCTCAAAAAAATTGAACTGAGAGTTCAATTTCCTACTACTAAACAAAGAAACAAAAAACCTTATTAAAATTATTTTTTTTTTCTAACAGGGAAAAAAGCCATCAAAGTTAAAGATCTTGTAAGAAATGACAAAACTTCTCAGGGAATACTTTAATGGTCTTTTTCCAAGAAAGACCAAAATTTCTCTTTCATGGATAAAACCAGAATTTTTGTTTACCCCAAACAGAGTTAAGGTAATTAATATGATTTTTTTTCAGGTTCCAAAGATGGGAAATCTTAAGTATATAATTGTGATTTTTAAAATTAAAATTTCTCTTAGAAGGCTAAAGTGCAGTAATTAGTGAATATGGTTGCCTTAACTTCTTTTGACATTATCAGTCTGATGACAGAATCTCAGTTTGAATGAGAATAATTTCATAAACTCTTTAAAGTAGGGTTTTTTTATTTTTTTATTTTTATTTTTAAGTTTTAGGTGGACACAGTATCTCCACTTTACATTTATGTGGTGCTGAGGATCAATCCCAGTGCCTCATGCTTGCTAGGTGACCACTCTACCACTGAGCCACAACCCCAGCCCTTTAAAGTAGGTTTTAACAAAAAGCAAACTATGACTACAGCATGCAAAATTAGGTAAATCAGGAATTATGGAAAAATAGCAAAGGTATTGAAATATTTAGCTCTTGTTTTCATGTAATTTTTCTGTTAATTATACCCAATGGACAAGATTAAAACACATCTGTTGGGGCTCGGATTGTGGCTCAGTGGTAGAGCGCTCGGCTAGCATGCATGGGGCTCTGGGTTCAATCCTCAACACCACATTAAAAAAAATAAATGAATGGAATAAAGGCATTGTGTCCAACTACAACTAAAAAAAAAAAAAATTCTGTTTTCTAAGATTTACGCAGGATTACACTTTCATGAAGTAAGTTCACATGGTTGGGCAGGATCAGGTTTCATCTATGTTAATGCTTCTGTTTTATTACTAAAGCGAGGTCTTCATGTGTCTCAGCAATGGTATCTTTTTTTCTTTCTTTTTTAGGTTAAGGAGTTAGCAAACAATCCCTCTCTTGGCACCTKCTGAGGTTCATTTATCAAATGAGCCCATAAGCAGTTTCAGAGTGTAAGAAACACTGACAGTGATGAGCTGGAGTTGTAGCTCAGTGGTAGAGTGTTTACCTGGCATGTTTAAGGCCCTGGGTTTGATCTTCAGCATTGCGTATAAATAAATAAAAGATCCATCGGTGACTAAAATATATATATAAACACACACACACATATACATACACACACACACACACTGCAAATGAGTTCACTGAGCCACCAAGTGAGTACAGAAGCCACTTAACTATTGAAGTAAACAGAAAGTCACAGTCGGAAGGGACCTTGAATGATCTAAACTTTTTACCCTGTTTCCCTGCCTTGTGTACAACACAACCACCACCTATTATTCAGTATATCTTTTTAAAAACAAAGGCATAAGACAAAGAAACCAACCAAAATCCTACAACTTTGATTCTAGAAAATCAAGAGAATCTTTTTTTAATAATCTCTGGGCTTATATCATGAAGCTGCCATAGGAGGTTCCAGACTGGGGCTTTCTATACAACTAGATACTGGCTTAGTAATCATGAGCTAGTGCCAGCTCTTAGACAAATTCTGAAGGAAAGAAATCTCAGCACCCTGCTGTCTTGTTACCTGTTTTGATTTGCCTAAAACCTAGAGTTTCACAACATCCTTACTTACCTATTTCACTGTTCAAGAGCTTTTGCTTTTAATGAAATTTTTCTTGTGATAAGCTCATTCCCTTATGTTCTGTTTGTGTAACTCAAACTTGGCCAATACATTGTATAGAGTAAGAAATTTTCATTAATTCCAAATT